TTTGTTTTTCCCTCCCTTCCTCTATGGTCTTCTGTTTTGTTTCTTAAATTCCACATATGAGTGAAATCATATAATTGTCTTTCTCTGATTGGCTTATTTTGCTTAGCATAATACCCTCTAGTTCCATTCCACTGACCTTTTTAATTGATGCAAGTTAAATACAAGGCTAGGGCTATCATAAAGCATCTCAGATCAGTGTAGCAGTGTTATGATGGGCAATCACATTATTATTGTCATTGCTATTATTATCATTATAGATTATAGCAGTATCTTTATTGCTGCTAAAACAAAGTATTATTATTATTATTACTAAATTATAGCTTAATGGTTAGAAAAAAGGACTTTTGCTCATAACAGCAAAAGCTGAAAACTTAAATTTTCTTGTTATGTTCTCACAATGGAATATTAACCAAGAATGAAAGTAGTGACAGCAAAGTTTTAATAACATAGAAAATCCCAGAAGATAATATAGATTATTAAAATCTTTTTATAAAAATAAGAAATAAGTAAAACAGTGTAAGTGATAAAACACCTTCTCCCCAAAAGCAATTATAAAAACAAAATATAGGTGTCTTTGGGGCCCCTGGGTGCCTCAGTCAGTTAAGCATCTGACTCTTGATCTCAGCTCAGGTCTTGATCTCAGGGTCATGAGTTCAAGCCTTGGGTTTGGGTTCCACGCTGGATGTGGAGCCTACTTAAAAAAAAAGAAGGTGGGTGTCTTAAGGGGGAAGCAAGGGGATGGGATAGGGATAGAGAACATAAAAAAATGTAAGTTGTCTGTTCTTAGTTTAGGTGGTAGGTTCATGATGTTCATTTTATTAGTAATGATAGATAATTAAATAAATAAATGAATATGATTAGGGCTCTGCACTGGACCAATGATGAGAGTGTTTCTATCATAAACTGATGATTATATTTCATTCAGTACTCTCTACTTAGGAACAACAACATTCCTCACCAAGAATAATGTTCATAACAGCTTTATCTTTAATAGCAAAAAAAACCCCTGAAAATAACACAAATGTCTAACCCAAATAACATTAACTGAAGTCGGTGAATGATTAAACAAAACTGGCACATCTGTATAGTGGAATACTACTCAGCAATGAAAAGAAACAAACTAGTAATAAACACAATAATCTGGATGGATATCAAGGGCATTTTGCTTAGTGAAAAAAATACTAGTTTCAAAAGGCTACTCACTGCATGATTCCATTTAATAACATTCTCAAAAATGACAAAACTATAAGATGTGGATGCCAAGGGGCAGGTATATAAAGGAGTAGCATTAGGGAGTTCCTTTGTGGTTATGGAACAGTTTTGCATCTTGAATGTGGTGGTGGTTACACAAATACACACATAAGATAAAACTGCATAGAACTACACACACACACACCAAAAAACCAAGTATATTATAAAGATATAGTACTCTAAGCATGTTGGTACAGACACATGAATGGACAAAAAAGATCAATGGAATGGAAAAGAGAGACCAGTTATGGATCCAAATACAAACAGAAATTAAGTATCTAATAAGATGACATTTCTAATCAGTGACAAATAAAAAAAGATGGGTTTATTTAATAAAAATTATCTGACCTAAATAGATCAGAGATATTATAAGTAAAAAAAAAGCAAAATGATTAAAGTGCATGAGATAACTTTTCTTAAATAACAAGAAAGCATGAGATAACTTTTCTTAAATAATCAAGGAGAGCGGCTCAGTCAGTTAAGCATCTGCCTTTGGCTCACTCAGGTCATGATCCCGGTCCTAGGATTGAGTCCCATGTCGGGCTCCCTGCTCAGCAAGGAGTCTGCTTCTCCCTCTCCCTCTGCCCCTCCCCACTGCTTGTGTTCTCTCTCTCTCGTGCATTCTCTCAAATAAATAAAATTAAAAAAATAATCAAGGAGAAATTCAGAAAACATAAAATATTTATATAGATGACTACATACAAATTAAAAATACCACACATGAAATAATACAATAAACAAAGTAAAAAAGATAAATGACAAGCTGGAAAATATGCTTGCAAAACATACAACAGACAAAAAATTGATTTCCTTGAGATAAAAAGAGCTCCTACAATAAGAGAAAACCAATATAAAAATGGGAAAAGACATGAACGAAAGTTAATAACAGTAACAAACTAAAACACAGCTGGAAAATATATATGATATGAAATCTCATTCACAATTTTATTTTTTTTTCCTTTTTTTTTTATTCTTATGTTAATCCCCATACATTACATCATTAGTTCTAGATGAAGTGTTCCATGATTCATTGTTCGTGCACAACACCCAGTGCTCCAT